CCCGCCCCCCTGCCCACCGCCCCAGCCTCCGCCGCGGGGCTCACCCAGGCTGTAGAGGCTGAGCGCGCCGTAGTCCAGGAAGTAGCAGATGTGACGCGCGCGGGGTGACATGGAGCTGAAGGTGTGCGCGCAGCACGACGCAAACGGGTAGAGGCAGGCGGGCAGCAGGAAGACGAGCAGCGGCCAGTGGTAGGGCTCCGACCGGAAGCCCTGGCCTCCCGCCAGCGCCAGGAGGCGCCACAGGAAGTACCTGCGGCAGGCACGTGCTCAGGCCACTGGACCCCCCAGCGGCTCCCAGTGCAGCCCGCGGGCCCGGACGGTCCCGGTCCGCCTGAGTACCCCCTTGAGCTCGAGGCCCAAGCCTGGGAAAGAGCCTCCCTCACCAGGTGGGCAGGAAGTGAGTCCAGATGTTGACGGTCTCGTTGGTCATCTGGAAGGAGCTGAGGACACAGTCCAAGGCCGAGCTGGTGGGGCGGCGGTAGCCAGACATGATACCATCTTCCCAGAACACCTGGGGTTGTGGGGGGCAGGGGAGGAGAGGAGTCGCTGTGTCCCACCCTTTCTCTCCAAGGGACTCCACTGTGTCCCACCCTTTCTCTCCAAGGGACTGCACTGTGTCCCACCCTTTCTCTGGAAGCAGGGTGGAAGGGAATGGGCTGGAGATCACAATGGCCCCAAAGTCAAACTAAATCCAACCCCATCTCACCACAGTTTCCAGTACCCAGAGAGCAGGTGAGAAACAGAAGAGGCAGAGTAAGGGGATAAGATAGGATGGACACAGGGTGCTCTGAGGAAGTGTTTTGGGCTCTAGGGAGCAGGTCACAAGCCTGTTCCTTAGAGAGCAGAAGAGTACCACACTGAAATGGCAGGGATAAGAGTTAGCCTAGAGCAGGGACTTCTGCACTTGCAAAAAGAGAAGAAACTTTGCCCCAGCCAGTCCCCTGAGAAGTAGGAGGTGGTGAATCCCTCACCCTGGGGACCTGGTGGACGCGAAGGAGTTGGGGCAGCTTGAGACTGAGCATGGTGGCCCGGCACCTCCACGTTGACCTAGAGACAAGGGGCAGGGGGGGAATTAGGTATCTGCCCCCATCCACAGGTCCCTTTTCGCCCAGGTCCAGGCTGAACCTGGTCACTGAGTCCCAGGGTAGGCTGTGTACACGGGCATGCATGCGGGTGGTAGCTGACCACCAAGCTGCTTCCTTCAGGCCAGGGGAGGCTGGCCCAGCTTCCCCAGTGGTCATAACCCCAACCCCTCCCCAGCCTAGCCTGGGGGCTCTTTAGTTCCCCCATTGAGAGGGGCTGGTCAGCCTCGACTCAGCAAGGAGTGGAGGGTCCTCCTCAGCCAGAAGGCTGCCTCAGTAACCCTGGACCCTGGAGCCAGGTCCCCAACCCCCAGTTTTTGTCTCAGAAGAACCCTGACTTACAGAGGACAGCACAGAGAGCGCCTAAGCACACACCACCACCGCCATCGCCAGCACCAGAAAGCCCCTTGGCTCACGGTGCCGGGGCTGAGCACAGAAAACTTAGGGTGCTCAGGGAGAATTCTTGGGAGAGGCCAGATGCCCACCGGTGGGACAAGGAATTAGGGGGATGCCTGGCTCTTCTCTGAAGACTACACTTGTGCCCCGGGGGGGCATTTGGGGTCCCTGCCCCACCTGAGCCCCGGCCCCTCAGCCTCAGACCCTGTGTGCTGCCTCCGGGTGGCCTCAGCTTTGCTGCCCCGCCCGCCTCTCAGGCCGCCTCTCCCAGGCACATTCCTTGGCACAAGTGGATGGGCTGGGCCACCAGGGCGGGTGGAGCTGCCCCAGGAGGAGGGAGAACAGGAGACTCCTCCCACCTCTCCAGGCCAAAACCTTCCAGCCCCGCCCCGTGCCTCTTCCTGTCATCGCTTTGCCTATTCTCTGTGTGCATGTTTGCTCCGCACACACTCTGGGCCCTCACACCGCCAGCCTGAACCCCAAGCCTCTGTTCCTGTCTTTCAACATTTTGGGGGCCCTCTGCCCTTGAGCTGGGTGCTGGGGACCCTGCTGGGCACAAGGCCGACCTGGTCCCTAGTCCCTGCACCCTGGCTGCGATTTGATAGATGACCCCGGGAATTCCCTGGCGGTCCAGTGGTTAGGAGTCTGTGCTTTCACTGCCGAGGGCCTGGGTTTGATCTCGGGTCGGGGAGCTAAGATCCCACTACCACAAGCCTGGGGCGCAGCCAAAAAACAAAAAGAAACTAAGATAGATGACCCCTCCCGGAAGTGGGATGGGGGTATTCTGACCTATCCTGAGTGCGGCCCAGCTGCCTGGGGGAGGGGTGGACCAGGAAGATGCTGGCGTCTAGCTCCCCTCAGGGTCCCTTCCCTCAGCACTGGGGTTCAGAGGTCTCTGAAGTAGAGTTTGTGCTGTAGCCATGGAAATGGGGGAGGGGCCGGCCGGAGCAGGCAAGTGGCCTCTAGTTCCCCAGAACGGGCGTCTTGGCCCCAGGTGAGCTTCCTTACCCAGAGTTTGATGGGCGCTCCTAAGCTGGTGGGTCGGCAGGCCCCGGGCTCCACGGGTGGAGTCCCTGGCTCTTGCCAGCCGGGCCAATGGGAGGGAGAAGAGAGCGGCGGGCAGGCGGGCCAGGCCTGGGCGGGGAGTGGGAGACAAAGGGGAGCCAGAGAACAATCCCAGCCTTGTCCAGCCTCCAGAGAGCAGTGCGGGGTGGCCCAGCCCCATTAGCAGGCAGCTCACTCGGGCTCCAGCGCACAGCCAGCCCCTTCAGCTTGACCCCACCCCACTGAGAGCAGACTGGCCGGAAGAGGCCAGGGCCCTAGCCAGGATGCAGCCAGGGTGGTGCAGAGCGCCCCCCTCAGACCAGGCTGCCCCACGGCGCCAGGGTTCCAGGCTCTCCCGGGAGCTGAGAGTGGCTCTGCCTCAAGCTGGGCAGAGGAATCCAAACCCTGAATTTGAATTCTCCAAAACCTCTTCTCACTGTGCTTCGCTGCCTCTCAGCGCCTGGTGCTGGGCAGAATCCAGAGCAAATGCATTTGGTAAATGTTGGCTCAACCTCAAGGGGTTCACCAAGCTTCTCCACTCCCCAGACACACTTGAGGTGTCAGTCCTTGCGGAGGGATGGGGTTGAAGACTCAGAAGCTGGTTTCAAGGTTCACCCTCACCTCTCCATTGAGGAAGTTTCTCCCTGATCCAGAGGACCCAGCTGAAAACCGTAAACCACCCCCAGGGAACAATGTAGCCTTCAAAATAGTTGACCCTTGAACATAGGTTTGAACTGCGTTTATATGCAGCTTTCTTTCACTAAATATGTACTCAGTACTACACGGTCCCCAGTTGGTTGAATCGTGGATGTGGAACTGCAGATACAGAGGGCGGACTGTAAAATCAAGTGCAGAGTTTTGCTTGCATAGGGCTCAGCGCCCTAAAACCGCATATTGTTCAGGATCATCTGTATATTGTTTTCACCTATCACCCTTGTGAAGGCAGCAGCTCAGTTCAATGAACTTCACATCTATCAAAACCATCTCTGGACTTTGTGCTCCAACTGCTGGTTACTTGCTTCAACTGGGCCACCTCAAAGAAACCTTTCCAAAATGCCATTTCAGTATGTAATCTCCAATGTCCCAACAAAATTGTACAGAAAGGCACCAGGAGACAAGGAGTGGGCTTCTGGGGGTCTTTATTAAGTGATGCTTTAGTCTCAGTCTCTGCCAGGGACTGGAAGTGGGCGTGATCCCACTCCCCCCAGGTTGTCCCAGACTTGCTGTCTTAGAGGAAGGAGGCAGGAAGCCAGTTCTCCTCCGAGAACAGTCTGGGAAGCTAGGCTAGCGCTGGGGTGGGGAACAGCAGAGCTGAGATCCTCGACCCTCAACCCCCAGCCCGAGCTGTATGTGCAGCCCGAGCGGGAGGGGCCGAGGCAATCCTGGCCAAAGCCTCCCACACTCAGCCCCACTCTTGCTGCTCCACTCACTGCCCTGAGCTATTCGTGATCTCTGCTCTCACATTCACCTCAACACTCCAGAAGCTAGCCCCATGCTCAGCTCCTCCAGGCCTTTAGTCCCGGGGAAGGACAAAAGTAGCGAAGCCCATCAGAGCAGAGGGTCCCTGGCTGGGCAGCTTCAAGGGGCCTCTCCTTTCTGCTGTCCATCTGAACACAGGCCCCTCCCTAGATAGTAAGGGGGGTCGTGGCCTCAAACTTCACCCCTCTCTCCTCTTACTGGCATCCCACTCTGTCCCAGCACAGCAGCCCAGAGCACAAAGCGCAGTGACCATGGGGCTGGCGGGCTCAGAAGCCCTCGCTGGCATATAGGCCAGACTGCCTGCAGCCGTCGTGGGCCTGCTCCCTGCCCTGGAAGCTAGACGAAGGGAGACAGAAAACAAGTGGGGCAATGGGTGTGCATCCCCTGCAGCAGGAGGAGGGGATCTAAGCCCTGCCCTGCTATTGGTGCAGGCAGCTCCAGGCCCCTCTTCCTTAAGAGTCCCCAAGGCTCCAGAGCTGCCCAGCCCCCTGCAAAGGGAGATGAGAGGGGGATGGGTGGTCCTCAAGGAGAGGAAGGGTCTGCAGAGAACCACCCAGACACCTGGTGTTACCCAACTCTACCCCCAGGCCCAGAGGGCCTAAACTCCTGGCACCAACCACCCTGCATCTTGGGTGAGGAAGAAGGGCCCCTTCTGCTGTCCCTTCCCCTCAGAGGTCCAGGAACCACTCCAACGAAACGCAGACACCCGTGCCTGCCACCTGCCCCTGGGGAAAGCAGGGGGGCTGAGGCAGGAAGGCTGGCTAGGGGCCCACAGGCCTCTCCTGCTCCAAGCACTTTCCTTGCTTTCCTGACGTCGTCTTGGCAACACGGGGACCCCGCCCTCCCAGCTGGCTCCTGGGCCCTCCCTGCAGCCTGTGTGCAGCTGGGCTTCCTTCCTGTGTGCGTGCGTGCGTGAGTCTGCGTGTGGTGGGGTGACTACAGGTGGTGGTCCTGGCTGCCAGGGAGGGCAGGAGAGATCTGGAGTCAGCCCCGCTGCAGGGCCTGGGGGTCGGTCTCAACCAATCTCCTTCCACTGCTTGTAGAAGTCCAGAACATTCTTGATGTCCACACTGGCATGTGCAGCGGCCTGCAAGGCTGCCTGTAGAATTGGGGGGAGGACAAATGGAGGAGGGCCTGACTTCCCAAACTCTGGGACAAGTCGTTGAGGTGCTGGGGAAGGGGTGATGGAAGAGGAAAAGAGCAGCCTGAGGGAGTCGACACCGGTACCTCTTCCCCATTCCACACTCTGCCAAACATCACCCCATGACCCACCTGCATAGGGCCTGAGAGCGTGCTGGGGTTGTCCAGTGGAAGGCCTGTGATGATGGTCACCATGCCACTCGGGTCCTCCTCACCTGCCCCCTGGGCCAGAGTCAGCTGTTTGCAGCTGTCCAGTATCTTATAGAGCGTCCTGGTGGGAGCAGGGGGGGAAGGCGGGCCAAGCCCCAGCATTAGCACGGCCTGAACACCAGATCTCCAGGGCACAGGGGAAGCTGGGGGTGAGGAGGGCACCAGGAGAGAGCGAGAGAAACCAGGCAGCCCAGAGGAGAGGGTCCTGGAAGCTGGCCCCAGAGGACATGCTACAGGGACTGGGCAAAGGTTCAATGAGTGAGGAAGCTGAGCCCAAGGATCTCAGGGCCACGGGGGCTCAGATGCTGGAGCAACTTCTCACTCCATCTAAGGTGAGACCTGCAGGAGGCCTCTGGCAGAATGAGCCTGGCCCCGCGCTGGTCCTGCTGCCTGTTACGGAATTCTCCGGCCCATCCCTCTGTCCTGGGGAGTGCCCACAGAGGAGCAAGGTAGGCAGCCTATCTGAGGTTCTAGGGGTGGGGGCTGAAATTTTACCAGGCATCTGCATCCTGCCTCTTCAGCTTATGCCGCTCAAAGCTCTTCCCCACCTCTTTCTGGCAGCGAATGTACCTGCAAAGGAGACGAGAGAGTGAAGCTTGGGGGCAGGGGAGAGGGAGGGCACCTCATACAAAGCAGGCCATTGTGGCGCAGAGGACCCAGTTTTATCGAGGCGGGGCACGTCTCCCACATCACAGGTCTGTTTGGAGTCATTCTGAAGTGGCTTCCTAGCTGCTGAGCCCAGCTTGCTTTTCCTCCTGATAACATCAATTCTTTGGTTCCTCCCTGGGGAGGAGCTGGGAGGGGAGAAGCAGCAGATGCTTTTCAAGTCAGTGCTTCTGGAGACAAGGTCCAAACAAGCAGGCTTTGTGCAGCTTTCTGACCAGGCAAGGGCAAATGCAGAGGAGGGGTGGGCCAGCCAGCAGAGAGCAGGGAGCCTTCTCCCTCTCCCCTACACCCAGTGTCTAGTCCTTTTCTGGCCCCAAAGGCCAGAAGGAAGGGCCTGTGCTGGGCTGAGCACCTATACACGGCCATCTGTCCCCCCAGCCCCATGGGAAGCCCCTGGGCAGCCCCGATGAAGGCACTCCCACCTTGGTCAACCTGATCACCTAAAGCAGGAGAACCTCCTGCAAAGGAGTCCATAGGTTGGAGGTGGGGGCTTGTTCCCCTCTCCCCGGTCACAGTGATCTCATGTTTGCCCCAGAGGTAGATGGACAGCAGGTCACTGTTCCCCAACAGGGCTCCTAGCTCCTCCAATCGCTGTCTATTTCAGCACCTAAGACCCTGACTTCTAATTATGTCTTCGGCCTCCCTCCCCAGGCAGTGAGCCAACTGCGACCAGGGGCCACATGTCTTACACGAGGAACACACGCATTCGTTGTCTGGGCTCAGCAGAGGTCCAGCCAGGCCTGCACTCACCTGTTCCCTTTTTTAAACTCTGCCTCCAGGTATCGGATCCCATCCCGGGCCCCGGGGTGTTCCTTCTTCAGCAAATCCAGGCCATCGATCACTGGCGGGCAAGATGGGGGTGGGGGAATGACAAAACAGATGAGCTCAGGCTGTCGTGACTTGGGGCTCTGCAGAAGCATCTGCACTCACTCCAGGACACACTGCAGGAAAAGGGACCGTAGCTCCTACAGGAATCCTGAAGTTCTTTCAAAGACTGACCTTCTGCCAACAATGTATGTTGGCAACTTAACAACTGCTTTCACTTAGATTTTCTCTTCTGTTTCTCCCAACCATCTTGTGAGTCAGGGTTTAACAGGGACTGTCATGCCCACTTCGCAGATGAAATGACTGAAGTTCAGAGAGGTGGCAGGACTTGACCAAGGCCACTGTGTGTAAACTGGGCCCCAAGTAAGAGTCTCTCAATCCCAAGCCAGATTCTCTTTTAGCCACACTCTCTGCTCCCACCTCTCCAATATACTTACCTGTCCTTGGGATGATGACAATGAAGCGGCCACTGGTGGCCAGCTGGCGGATGACAGGGAGGTGGTGGCAAAGGGCTTGGGTGTCGGGGACGAGGTAGGGAGACATTGCTGACTGGGCCTTGGGCTGCTGCAGGCTCCCTTCCAGCTGAGAGACCTCGAGCTGTTGAGAGAAGGCAGAGTGGGTGGAGCTGCATGCAGCCTGGGCAGGGGAAGAATGGTACTCAAGGTGGCTCTTATGGGGCTCCTCCTGCTGCCAATGGGAACAAGGGACCCCTTCGACGAATGGCCTCATAGGAAAAGTAGACAG